ACGGCCTACTGAACATTGGGATGATTTAATTATATACCTTGTTACCAATAAATTTGATAACATAACAAAACGAGCCTGGGAATCGCGTACTGATGCAAAGAACATTCCAACATTGCAAAATTTACTCACTTTTTTGGAAGAACGTTGTCGTATCTTATCATCATTAACGCAGCATCAGGACGAAGATCACACGAAACACACTGGATTGAAACAATCACATAGGCACACAAAATCATTTGTTTCTACCACTGTAACTACTTGCACTTTGTGCAATGCTAGTCATAGTTTGTACACTTGTGACACATTTTTGAAATTAACACCTGTTGAAAAATTAAATACTGCGAAACGTTTGAGGTTATGTATCAACTGCCTAGGCAATAATCACATAACACGAAACTGTAAGTCTTCTGGTTGTAGAAAATGTGGAAAAATACATCACACTTTGCTTCACTTTCAAAATAATGAAAGGGAGCAGATTCAAGCTACTCATAGCACAAAAAACGATATTGGATCGATCCCCAGCACTTCAAATGAAACTGTCAGCTTGACATCTAGTCTTTCCATACCATACCAGACACTCCTTTCAACTGCTTGCATTACAGTGTTTGACAACTTTAACAATCCACATCAGTGTAGAGTGCTCCTTGATAGTGGAAGCCAAATAAACTTCATTTCTGACAAACTTGCAAATATTCTACAATTACCCAAAATTCGAATTGATGGTTCCATATCCGGAATAAATCAACTGCAAACTAAGGTTACATACTCCATTTCTTTACTGTTCAAATCCAACATCAACAATTTTCAAAGACGTATAACTTGCGTTGTCTTAACTCGCATTACTGGTAACTTGCCATCCTTGCCAATTAGTACTGACAAACTAAACATTCCAGAAAATATTACTTTGGCTGATTCTGAGTTTAACAAACCTGCTCCTATTGACTTACTGATAGGTGCAGATATATTCTGGGATCTAATAAGCATAGGGCAAATTAAACTGGGACATAATCTACCCATATTACAAAAAACCAAGTTAGGTTGGTTAATATCTGGACCTATACACACCAAAAACAATACATATACAAGTTTGCACTGTTCTGCAACAAACAACTTGGACAATCAACTTTCCAAATTCTGGGAAATAGAAGAGTATCCAAAAACTGAATTTTTTTCTGATGAAGAAAATTATTGTGAACAACATTTTAAAGAAAATGTAACTCAAGACGCAGATGGACGTTTTATTGTCACAATTCCACTCAAAAAATCAATTTCTGAGCTTGGAGACTCCAAAACTGCAGCAACTAACAGATTCTTGACATTGCAGCATAAATTACTTAAGAACAATGATATGCGATTTCAATATCATCAATTTATCAGGGAATACATTGATCTTGGACACATGTCTTTGGCTGAAGATCAAAATGACAGAAATGGTTTCTTTCTTCCACATCATTGTGTGCTTAAGGCTGACTCCACTACTACAAAACTTCGTGTCGTTTTTGATGGTTCAGCTAAAAGCTCGACCGGTGTTTCACTTAACGACCTTATGTTGGTCGGTCCAAACGTTCAAGACAACTTATTTTACATATTACTCCGCTTTAGAAAACACAACTATGTGTTGAGCGCAGACGTAGCAAAAATGTATCGACAGGTACTGGTACAAGAATCTCAACGTAACCTGCAAAAGATTCTATGGCGTTTCAACGCTAATGATAACATTCTAGTGTACACACTAAACACTGTGACATACGGATTAGCTTCTGCCTCTTTTCTTGCCATTAGATCACTTCAAGAGGCCGCTTATAGAAACATGAATAGATTTCCTAAAATTTCTAATATCATTTTACACGATTTTTATGTTGACGACCTCCTAACAGGTGCAGAAACTGTAAATGAGATTATACAAATTAAGGAACAAATCACTAGCCTCCTTTTAAGTTACGGATTTCCTTTGAGAAAATGGATTTCAAACGATCCAGCTTCATTATCCAATGTCAGCCAAACTCCTTTGCATATTGGTGAAGGTGACCAAACCAAAACACTTGGTTTACTTTGGAACCCCAATGTTGATTGCCTACAATACTCGATTAGTGGTTTAACTCATCCTTTCAGAATTACAAAAAGGCAAATCTTATCATCAACTGCACAGATTTTCGACCCTCTTGGACTTTTATCACCAGTTACTGTGACTGCTAAAATTATACTCCAAGAGCTTTGGAAGCTTAAAATATCATGGGATGAAACTGTACCTGCTGACTTACACACAACTTGGGCTAAATACTATACTCAATTACATTTACTGAATTCTATCAAAATACCACGACAAGTGTCTTGTCCAAATCCAACCTCAGTACAATTGCACGGGTTCTGCGATGCATCACAGCATGCCTACGGTGCATCAATATACATACGTTGCTGTGATACATTGGGAAATTTTACTTCAAACTTGTACTGTGCCAAAACACGCGTCGCTCCACTCAAAACTTTAACTATTCCACGTTTGGAACTTTCTGGCGCTGTTTTACTGGCACAACTTGTTGACAAAGTATCTTCTTGTCATTTTGACTTCCAAAACATTTACTACTGGATTGATTCCACAATTTGCCTATCATGGATCAATTCATCCCCACACATACTAAAGACCTTTGTAGCCAACAGAGTAGCAAACATTCAGCAACTGTCGAATGTCACTTCATGGTATTATGTAAATACTAAGGATAATCCTGCAGATTTACTAACACGCGGGATGACACCTTCTAATTTAGTTTCCTCAAATTTCTGGTTTCATGGACCTTCTTGGTTGGTTCAAACTGAATGTCAGTGGCCAACAAACAATGCGCAACAATCTACTATGATTCTTACAGAAAACCTTCCAGAAGTTCGAAACACTAGTTGTTCTTTTATTAACTCTGTCAACAAATTCGACGCCCATACTATTGAGTTGATCAACAAACATTCTTCATTTTTGAAATTACAGCGTATATTCGCTTATGTTTTAAGGTATATAAGCAATCTTAAAATTCCTGAGAGCTCCTCTAGACAGCTGGGTCCTCTAACTGTCCTTGAACAGAATCAAGCGCTTTTCTTTTTGATTCGTACTATGCAGCAATACCATTTATCTGAAGATTATTATCAGTTGTCTTCTTCTAAACCACTTAACAGAAGAAGCAAACTATCATCTCTACATCCTTTCTTCGACACCACACACAATGTAATACGTGTTGGAGGTCGACTACAACATTCCAATTTTGATTTTGGTAAAAGACACCCAATTATTCTCCCTTCAAAATGTCACCTTACAACCATCATAGCACGTTCCACACATTAGACTTTTACATACCGGACCACAAGCTCTCTTATCAGCTTTGAGAGAGAGATTTTGGCCTCTAGGGGGACGCAACCTGGTAAAACGTGTGGTTCGTGAATGTATACAATGTTTTAAGGTAAATCCCAGACCTGAGTCACACCTCATGGGAAATCTTCCTGCTTCTCGTGTCACTCCCTCTCGGCCTTTTTCGATAACTGGATTAGACTATGCTGGTCCATTCCTACTGCGTGATCGAAAGGGTAGAAATTTCAAAACAACTAAAGCTTACGTTTCACTTTTCGTGTGCTTCGCCACTAAGGCTATCCACTTAGAGGTAGTCAGCGATCTCACAACTGAGTGCTTCCTAGCATGTCTACGTCGTTTCACTTCGAGACGTGGTAAATGCAATGAAATACATTCTGACAACGCGACTACATTTGTAGGAGCTAACAACGAATTAACCAAATTTCTTTCTTCTCGCGCGAATAGCATCGCAAATGGTTTATCACAAGATGGTATTCAGTGGAAGTTTATACCTCCCAAATCTCCCCATTTTGGGGGTCTTTGGGAGTCTGGAATTAAATCCACAAAACAACATTTAAAAAGGGTAATGGGAAATGCTTTACTAACTTTTGAAGAATTTAATACAGTATTGTGTCAGATAGAGGCCTGCCTTAATTTTCGTCCTCTTTGTCCTCTCTCTCATGATCCCAATGACCTAACTCCTCTTACACTCGCACACTTTCTCATTGGAGACAACCTGATGGCGCCACCTGATAGCCAGATACTTGATCTGGCCGAAAACCGACTTTCAAGGTTTCAACGACTACAGTCAATGGTGCAGCATTTTTGGACTAGGTGGTCCAAGGAATATGTATCCTCCTTACAAGCCCGTATCAAGTGGAAGACCAATTTTCCACAATTAATTAACATTGGCGCTATGGTCCTTATTAAGGAAGATGGAATCCCA